ATATTTTAATATTTTAATTTATAGTTTAGCGCTTTTCATCACTTATGTCATTAAACCTACCATTTAAGGATACGATTCTCTAGCAAATGGAACGAATCAAGGTTGAATCTACTATTAATAGTTTTAAAATTTCAAATTCACTATACAGTACTAATATCGTTATTTTTCGGATTGCAAATAGGACTTAAGACCTTCTTCCTAATAGTTGACATGTTCATTTTATAACCAAGCCACTTAAGCAATGCAATACGGTATTTAACAAATATTCAAATTCAATACTTTTATCGAAACGTCATAAACATTTTATGAATTTTGTACGCAAAACTAACTTATGAGTTATTCTATCACTTATTTATGAAAAAAGTGCTAGAATAAATGGAAAATGCAGTATATCGTAAAATCAATATGTCAGTAATTATTTTTCAATATTTAATTGGATTGCAAAATCAAAATAATTTATTTTTCACCCAGGGAACTACCCAATTATCAAGGCAATGTGACCTGACTTACCTATAGGTAAGTAATTAAACAAACCGTCGAGCAATCAACTGTTAATTTGTAAAAAGAACTAAATAATAAAGTACTAGGATACTATAAAATGTCAAAGGTTATCGGAGAACACGTGGTCATCCCTGCCTTTGATATTATTGTACTATGAACTTTGTGAGTCATGGTTTAGAGTGTTTAGTTCATTGGTTTCTGCACATGTAAGGCTCACATGGTAAGTAGTGATTCACAGTGTAAATAGTGTTATCTATTTTGTTAGAGAAATTGATAAGGCCTCGTGACTTTGTAACAGCGTGTGTAACATGAGAATGTTTGTGTTTATATTGATAGTAGACTTTGTTTGTTTTGGTGAAATTAAACTAGAAATTATAAATAACTTTTGTCAGCGGTTTGTAACTATTTTTGGAGGTAAAGGGCCTGTTTTTTTAGGCTTTAGACATAACATAACATCATGTCCTTTATCCCTGTAGGGGTAGACAGAGGTGCCACTATACAATGCAACACCCACTTTTCACTTTATTTATGTTTCTCAACGCATTTCTTTATTTATGTTATGAGTCCCATGTAATAGGGGGTAAGCCTATTGCCATATAGCGGACAAAATTCCAGACTCCGTGCTACTACTGAGAAATTTTAAAACCCAGTAATATTTATCTGACCCGGGAATCGAACTCAAGACTCCTTGCCTAGCAGTCGCATTTACGGTCACTCGGTCAACGAGGCAGTAGGCTTTAGACTAGATTAAAATTTAGTAAGAGCTATTTTTATATGTTTAAAATAAGATTGAACTTCATAATATTCTTTTAATGAAACCTAATAGCTTTAAATGTCGCGGCAATCATGAGTAGGAGTGGTATTTAAATATTACGCTGGAATTAATATTATGAATGACATTTGAACTTAAATTAGATTTATAGGCTAGCTTGGATCATTATGATTATTCTTTCATCTGGACTTTTACGATGATAGAAAAGGCAATACATATTATTAATTCTTGACTAGCTTCTCATTCAGGCAGCAGATATAATTACAATACTTATACAATAGGGTAGATGACTAATTTTTATTGTACTGTCCGTCTGGTAGATTATTTTAAAACATTATGCACGTATTTTTTATTTTTTTACAGAAACGAATGCTTTCGGCGATATATTGATTTGAAATGTCGCGTGACGTCACTTCTATGTACATTTTATACGGAGAAATGACATTTTAGCCCGCACTCCTAAACCTTGATTTGTTTTATCTAAGTATCGATTTTATTATAGGACAAAATAAAAAAATACGTTACTAATATTTTTTCATTATCTTACTGACGGACTAATTAGATTTTTAATTTTCATACCCTGTCATCATCCCTATTACTTATAGAGTATTTTTTAAGGTTTAAGTACCGTCACATAAGAATAGTACACAGAGGGGTCACTTCAAAAATAAAACTTTTGTTACGTTGTAATAAAATCGAAAAGAAAAACAAGACATAGCTTAGGTAATAGATGGGGTATCTGGATATATACTAGTATCTTCATAACTTGATAAAAACATGAATAATAAAGAATATTCGACGAGCAGTCTTACGAGCAATGACGCCATACATATTTGTTATTCCACACGGTTAGACCAGCTGTTAAAACTATTGCTATGTACTTGTATAAACTCAACTGAAATATTAATTATAACTCATACTGAAGAACCTATGTAGGATACTTAGCGATATAGTGGTATCTCTTTCTGTTGGACTGTGAGAGAAAAGGATGGATGTTTAAATGACTTCTAGGTTCGACCTTCACATTATTATCAAGAATTTTATAGAGAGAAAAATATTGATGTATGGCGTTAACACAGTTCTTAGTACATTAGGCATGGTTTTATAAAGAAGGAAGATAACTACATAAGGCTTTTTAGGGGGGGGGAGGGGGAATCATCCAATAACTCCTCCCGCCTTGGGTTGGCGAGAGGGAGTGTCAGACTGATACTGACTAAAAACCACGCCGGCCCTATTCCTGCACTTCGAGCCGGAGCCCCGGCAAGCCGTTAGGCCTTCCGCGGCTCCGTATTGGACATCAGCCCTACTAGGCTTACCTTGGAAATACAACTATTATGATATTGCATTGTATTAAATAGGTATGTACATAAATAAGACGAAACGAGAATCAGTTATGGTGAGAAAAGGATTCACATATGATAATAAACTCCTTAACAAATAAATGTACAATATAATAGACAGATCTAAAGAACTAAAATAGAATCAATTGACGTATTTCATTAATACTTTGGTTTTGTGTAAAACTATTTGAGATAAACACTCAAGACGCAAAAATGTTTCACATTTCATATAAACAATTAATTATTATTTTATTAAAAGTCTTAAATAGAACTATACACCCGACAACACGTTTCAGTTACACATAGTTATTTATGTATAAAAAGCTAAACTATAAAATGATCCATAAAATTTACTCATACAAAAGTAGTGAAGTTCTCACGGTTGCGGCTGCGCAGCGATACTATCAAAAATCCATAAAGCGATTGAATACATATAAAATAGTGTTTTTGTATAACAATAGTGATTTATTCGCTTTCGTTCTATACCAAGGTTATATACTGTTGACAATGGTGAGGCCACACACACTATATTGTTTAAAATTTCAATAAAAGTAAGCCTTAATTGTGGTTCAGTGTGTTAGTGTTTGAACTAGTTTTGTATAGACGTAGTTTTGTGTAATTTTAGTTTTGTTATATTGTCAGAATCTGGATTCATGCTTAGTGTATGATTATGAACTTTCAATCATCAATTATTATGGTTTTCCTCTAATTAAGACAGTTTGCTATAATATCAATGCATTCATGCATGCATGCATACATTGGCATTTTGACTTTATTCCCTTTTATGTAGTACAAGTTAATAAAGAACGAATGGGCCAGCTCGACCGGAGTGATACCACGGCCTCACAGAAAACCGACGTGAATCAACGCTTGCGTTGTTTCGTCGTGTGAGTGAGTTTACTGGAGGCCGAATTATCTCCCTCCCCAGTCTCCCCAATCCCCGAATCCTTCACAATCCTCAAATTCCCAATTTCCAAAAGGCCGGTACGCACTTGTAACGCCTTGGTGTTTCAGGTGTCCATGGGCGGCACCGATTGCTTACCATCAGGTGATCCATCTGCTCGTTTACCGGCTCATGCCGTAAAAAAAAGAAATAGGTGTAACAATACCCTTTTTTATTTACCTCACTTCAAAACCCGATGTTTAAGTGTTAATCGAGAAACGATTCCAATATTATCGATAAGTAATTGTCATCTCAGGTAAAATTAAACTTGACAAGTTTATCGATGCATATCCGGGACTGCATTGCAACATTGTAATCGTTAAATTTTACTCATTTCACCTCTGATCTCAGGGTTATCTCATCAGCAAGGTGGAACAATATCATTGATACTAACTTATGTAAGTAAAAATAGTTTGATATCTTTGTAATTGGGCATTTATAAAAACTACATTAAAGATGAATCTGCATACTTTTTCAGATAATTTCCTCTTAAGAAGGTCCATATTCTGGTTATCATTGTCAGTGCTGGACTATCATAGACTTTATCTACATAATTATGATGGAACCTATGCCAAAATCACTACGCTTAATTATATTTTTTTGTGTAATTAATGAGCCGACGTTTGTCCAGTTCCTCGGCTGGTAGTTAGCGATGATGCAGCACGACACGTCGTCTCATAAGCAACCAATTCACTAGGACCTTGAAGACACCCAGGTTATATTACTCTTCAGGAAATACAAGCAAGCTTGATGCGAAGCGATTCTTGTATAATATTTTTATATATATCTGTCTATTTTATTGTGTAAACTTCTAATTTTTGTTTACTATAATGTATTATCGGTTTGCAAAAAATATATTTAAGCACTTAAACTCTTTCCTCGTATTTTTGGGCATCAGTCAAATAAAATTAGGAATACAATCTCGTTTCCAAAACGGGGCATATTACAAAAATTACGCAACGAAGGTATTATAATGTAAATCGTCGATTTTCACAACCGTGAAACGAGTTTTTTTAAACTCGTTTTTATCAAATTTTCTTTGAGACATTTCGATATCTGTTTAGTGTTTATGTATGTACCTCATTCTCTAACGGACGGGTTTTATGGAATAAAAGAAAATATCTTGATTTTGGTATGAGGGAATTTTGGGCCGTAACTAATACTATTGTTAATGCTCAAGCATTATGTCCATATCAATATGGACAGCTTAAGTTAGTAAGCGGCTAATTTGTAAGTGTTTGGTACTAATCCATTGCCTACAATACAGTGTATTCATACTCCATAAATTATTATTGATCATTTTTTTGTAATACGTAGAATTTATTGTCTAACTAAATCCACATTGTTTAAGTTACACTCTGAATATATGACAGTTTAGGGAAAAAATGTCATGTATGATTCCCTTAATCTAGAAAAAATAGGACTAGATTAATTTTTTTCTTACCGTCAACTTTGGTATGGTGTGGCGATGAGGGTGCGGATTCAACATCTGAATGTAGACTGTATGAGTGTTCTGTCTTGATTGGGGCGGCTCCCAAAGCCGCGTCTGTCATCAACCTGTCGTGCAGCACTACTCCTGATTTGGAATCCCTCTCGATCAGCCAGTCTGTCATTTCTGAATCTTCTTCCAATACATCCTGCATCTCCTGTAATTAAGGAAAATGGGTTATTAGCCTATGGTATTCGTTTTAAGTGACACGTTTTTTATTTCCTCGTACCAATTTTAAAATTGTACGTGTACTAAATGTTTTAAATTTTTCTATGGATTAGGAGGCCAACGAGCATGCGGATCACCTGATGGTAAGCGATCAGCGCCGCCCATGGACACCCGCAACACCAGAGGAGACACAGGTGCGTTGCCGGCCTTTCAAAAAGGAATACGCTCTTTTCTTGAAGGTTTGAAGGTCGTATAGGTTCGGAAATACCGCCGACGACAGATCATTCCAGTTTTGCTGTGCGAAGCAGGAAGCTACGTGAGAAGCGCACAGTTGTGGCCTGCCAACCATCTATATGATGGGGATGCATATGCTGTCGTGAGGGTCGATGGTGAAAAGATGACTATAAAACTAACTCAATATTAGTAGGATTTATGGTAAGTACCTATTTTTAGTACTAATATCTATATTCATGTTTAATTATAGTTGTAGAAGGCACTGCATTTAAGTTTTGATTAATACGAATATAACACAATTACAATACAAACCGTTACGTCATAGGTTTTTCAGGTAATACAAGGTAACTACGTTATTAATAGGCACCGAGTAAATCAAGTCTTTTGCCTGTTAGTTACATCTACGATTATACAATAACAATATTTTAACGAACATCCAAAGAAATATTTCCACAGACTAAAAAAATATTTCTACATTTTTCCGCCATTTTAGAATTCGCTACTAACCTTGAACCTGACGAAAAACAAGTCCTATAATGCCCCATTATCTGTATTTTAACCTCCCACGGAGCCATTTTGTTTACCTATATACTGCTACATTCGATCATAAGTATGTAGGCAGCGAACATCGTCGGTCAATAAACTTGCAAACGTTACGCCATTTTAAAGATAAAAAAACAATGTGTATGAACGGTGTTTGCAATACCTTAGAGTTTATTATCGTTTGTTTTTGTTTTTTTCCTCTTTCTAGCTGCGTTTTATTATTTTGTTATATTTTTTCGAATTTGGAATTTGACGGCCAGTGTTACGACTTACGAGTGCTAGTTTTCTCGATGGCGTTGGTATAGAAACTCCTTGAACGTTCCGTACGTATATCGTATGGGATTTTCCGCAAATAATTTAATTGAATGGTGTTCTTACAGCCTCTTGGTAAAGGATTCATTGAATTAGCACATCTGTTTAGTTAATTGTACTTCTCGGAAAATCATGTTTTTCTTGGCCATGCTAATTATCTGTTAAACAAATCGTCCCTATAGGTAGATTTAAATTTTGTATCAACAATTTCAGTAAATAAACACCCGGTATTTTTTTAAGGGGGGAAAATCATCGAATTTCTGCTCCCGCCTGGGTGAGGCGGGAGGGAGTGTCAGACTCTTATTGACTAAAAACCACCCCGTTCCTTCTCCTGAACGTCAAACATAGGATTCTACCAGTGAATGTTTTTTTTTGTGTAGTAATTTGACTCCAACCTATGTGTCTAATTTACCAATGTACAGATCGTAAAGACTTCAGTATGGTTTTCTAAAGAAACGAATGACGGCTATTATTGCTGATATAATCAACAGTAATAAACTTGAGCGCTCTGCTTCCAAAGAGTCAATGTCTAGTAATTCGCTATTCAACTATTTATTGTAAAGGTTTCAGCACACTAGTTTTAGAATGCAAAATGTGCGTTGCAAAGAGTTTGATATTGTTTTAAATTCTGCAAGCCTGTAATAGTTTTGTTTCACATTTATATCTCTTCGTCTTCATTTAACAGTTTTGATGACATCTACGATTAATTGAAGACATCTTTCTCAATTAAAGAATAAAACTTTCACTACTGATAGGCACAATGTTAGACAGACTGTAATATAACATGTCATGTCGTACCCGCATCGAGGTTATCTAGATGACTTGAACAATAAACCTTTTACAAAACCCGAAATAAAAGCCGTCTAGCCGAAAACTAGTTCTAAAAACCGGTCTAGCTGTAAAAACTATCTCAGTACCTATTTTATTACTGAACCTTTGTGTAAGAATAAAACAATTGATGTTTAAAATTGGAATGTTATTTAAGTCTGGCTGGTTGGAATAGTAGTGCGAAAAGTTTACTCGATTATGTTACGTTCTAATCGATGTGCACCTTAATGTCGTGTCCCTCACCTTGGTAGTGAGTGTAAATAGGCACCGTACAAATAGAGGAGGCGAATGAACGGCCATGGAGCCGAACACGGTCGGCGACCTCTGCCGGACGCCTTCCGACTGCCTGATGAGCTTCCGACATTACGTCCAACCAAGAGGCAAAAGAAAGCCATATTTCAAGTACTTGTATGTTGGTACTTAGTATGTATGTGTCGGTGTCTAACGTCTGAATTAATGGAGCGAATTTTAAAAAGAGAAGCGCAAGTAGCGACGCCTGTAAATCAAGCTTCTTCAATCTGTGTTTCTTCAATACATTTTCAACTTTATTACTTTGTAATAGAGTACAAAATCTATTGAAAAAGTTTGACAGTTTGGGGTAGATTGATATGCTTGTGTACGGACAGGTACAGACCCAACGGGCGTGTCTGTTGAATGTCCATTCTTTTTTTGAACGCTCACGTGTTTATGATTTTTCCAAGAAACAAATTTTATTTGCATTTCCCTACCTACGCCTTTTTACAAACAAGCTAAAAGTGTTTATGCGATTTTTCATAAAATAGTTGTCGAATATTCAGGGGTATTGAACTTTGTGATATAGTAGTCCTCTTGTGGGAAAAACCAAATAGTAAGATCGTGATAAACATTTTAATTTGCTTCGGAATGTGGTCTTTAACACTTGATGTGATTGACTTGTAAATACTAGTGTATTAGGATTGAAAATCATGCGTAGTGTTATTGAGAACTTTGAGATGAGAACGTTATATTATTATTTGAAAATCTAGGCTTTTTTATTCTTAGGAATTCAACAATTCATTATAAAAAATAACTATTTTTTATGTGTATGACTAAGATAACTGACACTATAGCTTGCTATTTTATTAAAATTACGAAGTTCTATTTTTAAAAAAGTAATTGGAAACCAACATTTTATATTCAAAAGTTTCGTCTATTTACTATTTAAACCTAAATGACTTTCTTTATTCAAATATCGAATGCATTTTAATTTCCGAATATTATTTACATTGATTTTATTCAAATCGAGTTCGTTGTTCTTTTTAAATAAATATTTGTTTTCAATATCACGTAGTGCCTAAACTATGTATCTATCTGGATGAGCTTTGTTTGTTTTTGATACCTATTTGTAAATAAGTTATTTTAGATTGATTGATCAAACCAAACTGATATGTTAGAAGCCAATACGTAAAAAATTGTTGATTAATTACAAAGAACATTTTGTATTCCGTTCTTGTTAATCAAAATATGGCCATTGTGAATTAGGACTTAAGGAGATTTAGGGTGTCGCGGAGAACCGGGTTACCGGGGCTCCGGCTCGACGTGCAGGAGAAGGAACGGGGTGGTTTTTAGTCAGTAAGAGTCTGACACTCCTCCCCGCCTCACCCAGGCGGGAGCAGTTATTCGATGATTTTCACCCCTTAAAAAAAACCTGTCTCTAAATCAACTTGATTTTGTAACAAGTTATCATGTCAGTTATTTTATGTGCGTGATGTTAACCTATGTAGGTAGATTCGAATCATACCTATATGTCAAAAGTAGTCCAAACGTGAATTACTTAGATAGTTAAATTACCCGTATATATCAGCCTAAAAATGACGTCACACCTCCATGAGTGTGGGCAGATGTATTTTCACCAAACGTCACATTTTGACGGGTGTAAGATTGAAACTATTCAAGTCGTAAAAATACGTGAATAGCGTCACAAGTTTGATGGGAACTGAAAGTGTCAAACAATAATACAATACTTATACCTAGTAAGAGTAGCATTTATGTTACGTGAAACTATTATTATGCAATTTTCTAAGACATACAGTCAACGAAGTACTTGATAGGTAGATTAGTTATAAATGTAACATTACAAAATTGCCACATCTAGGTTTTGTTTGCTATAGGTACATCTTTGTAATTTGTATAGACATATTATGGTGATTTGAAATAAAATGTTCCAATTACAAAAAAATGTGTTTTTCTTTTTTTAATTCATTGCATATCCCTTAAAAAGTATCAATTTGTTTGTCTATAGGTAGGTAACTAGATATTTATTTATTTATGGTTGTAGCTATAGACATCTTGTTTTTAATGTCTTTGACTGATTAAAAACGTGAACATTAAAAGAAAATGTCGACGATTAGATTAACAGTTATCTTTTAACAATCTAGATTATAAAACGGATTCTTTTCAATTATATTGTTGGTTCCACATAAATCCTATCACGTGCTAATAACATCTATTTATAATTTTCCTTTACCAACACCAAATACGTATTTTCCAACTGACTTAACTACAAGCTGGAGAAACGTCAAGGGAAATAAAAGCGGCTCAAGTCACCACATGTCAAGGAAAAACAAAAACTATTTTCCAAAACAACATATAGGGTAGCAGCAGATCAAGCTACCCTTTTTCGCGAAAATTATGTTTGCGATTTTTAACCTTATTCTTTAGTTGTGTAAAGTTGAAAATTCAATTAACAGAGTGGAGTAGCTTGATGTGCTTGCATTTATGTCTAATAACAGGATAGGTCGAGATTGCTATTTTTATTTTTTTTTACAAATAAACCAGTTTCAACCAATCAATACTGCCTCGAGTTATGGTAGCCATGATGCGTCAAATGCTCGTAAAAATGTCAGGCACTATTATCATACTAAAGTTATAAGACAGTCGTTAAGTGCAGGGAAAAGTCAGATTACGACTTTAATCGTGATCGTATTTAATATTTCTTGTTAGGTACTTAAATGGCATCTGCTCTACTGGCTACCTATTACTATCTAGTACTAATTTGTCATTAAGTTTTGGATTTTATTATAGAGCAATTAAGTTCGAATTTGATTAAAGAAA